TGATTACACACAAGATCACACATGTGATTACACACAAGATCACACATGTGATTACACACAAGATCACACATGATTACACACAAGATCACACACGTGATTACACACAAGATCACACATGTGATTACACACAATATCACACATTTTTACACATGTCCCACTTTCCTTTAGTCTCCATGGGCTGAAATGAGATATTTGTGGCCTTAAACTCACATGCAAAACAAATATTTGTTGTGATTATTCGAGGAAGGATGCTCACACCGAGTTGAAGCATAGTGCATCATTCATTTGATTAGAAGCATTTCTGTGAACCACAAATCAATTGTATCGTCTGTGGCACAGTCAACACCAAACTAGGTCAAATAAACTAGGTCAAATAGAAGTATGTTGCCATGGTCAACACCAAACTAGGTCAAATAGAAGTATGTTGCCATGGTCAACACCAAACTAGGTCAAATAGAAGTATGTTGCCATGGTCAACACCAAACTAGGTCAAATAGAAGTATGTTGCCTTGGTCAACACCAAACTAGGTCAAATAGAAGTATGTTGCCATGGTCAACACCAAACTAGGTCAACTAGAAGTATGTTGCCATGGTCAACACCAAACTAGGTCAAATAGAAGTATGTTGCCATGGTCAACACCAAACTAGGTCAAATAGAAGTATGTTGCCATGGTCAACACCAAACTAGGTCAACTAGAAGTATGTTGCCTTGGTCAACACCAAACTAGGTCAAATAGAAGTATGTTGCCATGGTCAACACCAAACTAGGTCAAATAGAAGTATGTTGCCATGGTTTACGTCAAAACAGTTAAAACATCCTGTTACCGCCAACTCAATGATAAATTCATACCAGGTGTAACATACTGAATTACTGATCAAAATTTGTATTCAGGGTGGTTTCAGAGAAATCTGACCATTCTGACACACCTCATGTTTTCGTATAAATCTTTTTTTTTACTTTTACATTTCTTGTTTATTTATCTTATCAATTAAAATGTCAATCATTTTCTTTTGGTTTCGTATAATAACACAGGAATGATTCTTCACACAAAGTTAAAAACATAACATTACAACTGTAGTAGTTTCTTAAATGCCTGCATCATGTGGCTATTCTTGGCTAGTTGTGTTGGTTTCTATGACAACAAACTATCTAAGAAAACCTCAGACAAAAACAATTTCTCATAAACAGCTCAAAACTATATTTACTGAAATAAGATAACACATACAGGTGAAATGATATATACCCTATATTCTAGTAAATATATATTGGTAGCGCAACAGGGACACTCAAATCATAGACAGCACACCAATTCAGGCACCTGATAGTGTTAACTCCGACGGAGCCATCATAGAAAATGGACGGCACCACTTGTCCTGTCTAGACATCCCGAATATATACATATACACAAAATGGCTTTTAAAAGACAATTTACCGCACAATATTGTGGCCCTGAATATAAATATCCCAAAATGGCTTTTTAAAAGATAATTTACAATACGGTGACCCTAAGTATATGTATACAAAAATGGCTTTTCAAAAAGATGATTTACAATATGGTGTCCCTGAACACTCAGACTGCAGTTATGATTGATTGTGGCAGAGACGATTTATATCTATTTGGAGCCATCTTTTTTATGGTGTGTTTTGAGGATGACAGAGGTTATAAAGGTCCCTCTGCCCCTACTATCTGTCCTTATACGACTTGTAGTAAGCAGTACCACTATCTGTTATTGGAGTGATCTTTAAATGGATATGTTCAAGTGTATTGTGACTCCACAAACTATTATTCAGGAATCTGAATTTTGAGAGGTGTACAGTTGGATTATCTCCCTTGTTAGATATGTTACAATTTTCACTAAAATAGTTGTTATGATATTTAAAGCAGACAATGCTATAACTTTTAAGTAGGTTTTGTACAATATGTGTTTTTCTCATCTTTTAAGGAATGTGATTCTTCAGTATTTTGTCAAAATAATACTTTATATATGTAATTATTTGAAAATACATAACAAATATTTGCTTTCTTGTATTTTCTTGTTAAATAAAAAGAAAAAAAGCAGTTGAAAATATGTATGATTACATTCACACAGCAAAGCTACTATATAAACTATGATACATGTACCATATATGACACCAAACACATGACCACTGTGACATCGGTAACATTAGTATAGACAATGACAGTACGCCACTAAAATGACTGTTCACTTAAGAGATTATGATGATAATGAATAATTAACATTAGCTTTGTTTTCAATAAAGTCAAAATTGGCATCATAAAGCAACATTGACATGAAATATAAATATAAGCATTGTTATGGCATTCATACTGTCATTAATGTCACAAAATCGCAATTTGAGACTTGATTAACTCATAAAAATCACCCCCTTTTTATTTACAGTTACAGGTACTGAAAAATATTTTTTGGACCCTTGAATATAAGTGGTAAGACCTTCTGAGTTAGATATGGAATTTCTAAATTCTTTTCAAAAAAGTACAAAAACATATAATAAGCAATTAATGAACAGCTGAAAAACTAAATCCAGTTTGCAGACAGTAGAAAACATAAGACAGTTTCTCTTTAAAAAATTAATTTTATTGCATAATTATAAAATCCATTTCTTGATAATGAGTGATGATATTTACAAGATCTAAAGTATAATTGCAAAACTGATTGACGGATCAATGATATTTCATAAAGACTGGAGATTCTCTTAATCATTGGATGACAATGGTACAGCTGACAAAAATGCTGCCTTATTGTCTCAATTAGTCTAATTCCCACACAATCAAATTCATATGTACTTAAATCATAACATGATATCTGATATACACAAAAATCATTACATTGTATTTTGTATGTACCAAAATTATTACATTGTATTTTGTATGTACCAAAATTATTACATTGTATTTTGTAAGTACCAAAATTATTACATTGTATTTTATAAGTACCAAAATTATTACATTGTATGTACCAAAATTATTACATTGTATGTATATACCAAAATTATTACATTGTATTTTGTATGTACCAAAATTATTACATTGTATTTTATATACCAAAATTATTACATTGTATTTTGTATGTACCAAAATTATTACATTGTATTTTGTATGTACCAAAATTATTACATTGTATTTTGTATGTACCAAAATTATTACATTGTATTTTATAAGTACCAAAATTATTACATTGTATTTTGTATGTACCAAAATTATTACATTGTATTTTATAAGTACCAAAATTATTACATTGTATTTTGTATGTACCAAAATTATTACATTGTATTTCATAAGTACCAAAATTATTACATTGTATTTCATAAGTACCAAAATTATTACATTTTATTTTGTATATACCAAAATCATCACATTGTATGTTGTAAATTACATTTGTCTTAGATTTACAACTTTACCTCTAACCACAATTAAGAAATATACAAGTGTTTATTATTTTAATTAGCAGAAGTCAATAAAGAAATAAAATAAAATTCTGACAGCGTCTTAGAGGCAGAGGTTGTCACAGATGTTGTAAGTTAGGCACTCATTTTGGATGGTAATTATTGAAAAAAATATATATACTGTACAAAAAAATGTCCCTAGGATATATTGGTTAAAATGAATTATATACATTATGGGTATGTATAGATGAAAATGGTAGGCAATATAAAAAATATATATAAAAGTTATGTACATTTGTTTACCTACAGTCTGTGTTTACAATAAGGAATGTACATTGTTTACCTTAAGATCTGTGTTTACAATAAGGAATGTACTTCGTCTACCTTAAGATCTGTGTTTACAATAAGGAATGTACATTGTCTACCTTAAGATCTATGTTTACAATAAGGAATGTACTTCGTCTACCTTAAGATCTGTATTTACAATAAGGAATGTACTTTGTCTACCATAAGATCTGTGTTTACAATGGCTTACATATGATCCGTGTAACACTATGAAATGCACTGTTTATCTTAAGTATATTTTTTTCTGTTCACAAGGACAAAAGAATCAAGTTAAAAAAATTTTTCCTCCATTTCATTTCAAAATTTTTCTTTTTCATAAATGAATGTGACATTGATTCTAATGTCTAATTCACCAATACAAAATTGGAAATTGATATAAAAATTTCCCAATAAAAATTTCACAAGGAAAACTAGCTATCACCAACAGAAAGAACAAAAATGAAATGACCAAAGAGAAGTAACTTGCATTGGGAAACAATATTATCACATTTTCACAGTTGTAAACATAAAATGTCACCATACAGTATAACTCTGTGCCAACCGTATTCCTGAAACATGATATACATACCAAAGACATACCCCTATTACTTACTGATAACAAAAGACCCAATTTGCCTGTTACAATCACCTGGCCATTGATCCCCTACACAAAACTATACCTGGATTCATTTCTGGAAACTTCGTCTTAATTACATTAACATACATGTTTATAAGGTTGTAGAACTTGAAACCAGTAATAGTTTTTAACAAATTTCTGATAAAGATGTTCGGTTCATTAGAAGAAGTTGTTTTGAATTGATTACAAAAACATTTTACTCCAGTGATCTTGAATATATAGCATTTCTTACGAAAACCTTGTCAAAACTTTATTATCCCAGGAACCAATAAACAAATTATTCCAGACTGTCTAGTTTGGCAGAAATAAAAATGTTTATGAGTAAAGAAGCCTTGCCCCTGTCACTCTGAATTGGATTTAAGTTATTTCTATTTGAAACTTTGTTTGGCCTCAGTTCAGGGACCTACAAGTCTTGTATCATGTCGTGTATTAACTGGTTTTACAGAAGAGGTCTTTTGATAGAAAAGTTTAAGGACGACGGGCAGGCAACAGTAGCTGTACCACAGCATAAACACACTGTGCCTTTGATTTGCACCAGGTGAGTTCAAAATAAATGTATTTTTTAAGTTACAGAGATCTCTAAGAACTAATGAAGATTGTTGATGAAATAAAACAGATTTTCTTTGTGATGCTCCCAAACCTTCATCTCAATCGGAAGAAAAAATGAACAGCTAAAACCACTGCCAACAAAGTCATGCTGATTTGTGTTGTTCCAGCACCAAGCTGCAAAGGAAAACCAGCAAAATCAAATGTTTGGCACTGTAACCAGAATTATTGTAATGGAAATCTCTTACACCAGAGTCAAGATCAAACTGGTTTATATTGATGCATTATCAATATCAACTGTTAAGTATATCACTCTGACAAAACGAATATGTCATGTATAACACCATGACAACACTTAGTGTCATGTTATATCACCCTGACAACACTTACTGTCATATATAACACCCTGACAATACTTACTGTCATGTTATAACACCCTCACAACACTTACTGTCATGTTATAACACCCTCACAACACTTACTGTCATGTATAACACCCTCACAAGACTTACTGTCATGTTATAACACCCTGAAAACACTTACTGTCATGTTATAACACCCTGGCAACACAAGCTGTTGAATATTACACCCTGACAACACTTACTGTCATGTTATAACACCCTGACAACACTTATATGTCATGTATAACACCCTGATAACACTTACCGTTGTGTAGTAGTTACACCGGTCGCCCTGACAACATTCTATGCAGTGCCAGTCGCGGTACCAGTCACGCATACATTTAAGGCCCTTACTGGCACTTTCTGCCTCGCATCTATCTTTCCTGTCACATGATTTCGACACGTAATGGTAACGTTCACTCCTGGGCTGCCAAAACTCTGGCTCTGTAAAATATCACAAGATTTCACTGCAACAGTAGCTTATTTCTAAATCTGCTTTGTATCAATTTTTTTTGTTTTTTTTTATATCAGGGTTTCTCCTTAGTATCTGAATTAAAAAAATCAAAAATTCAAATTCCTTTTTGCTGTCAATGTGGAGTGTGACAAATGGATTATACATATCTATATAGTTAAAACTATGTTAAGGAGTAAAAATCTCACGTTTCCACATAATCTGTGTGCGACATGCATCCTGTGTCTCTCTACACTGTATGGTAGTCTTCACACATTTGTCCATATTGTTTGACTGTGCTGAACACACATAGCACTCCAGGCCCCAGCCTGCAATTAAAGACAATCTGTCATAAAAACAAGTTTATATACCATAAAATATAAATGTTATACATTTTAATATCTGTGATAACCTTATGTGTGAGGAAAAAAACCTGGAACATAGAAACATGAAACAGATGTTTTCATACTACAATTTACCACATTCACCTTTCATTTAATTTCCTTTGTGATTTTTGTTTTGACAAATTTTGAAAATTTTTTACTTTCAGTAGTAAAATCTTAAAGGTGATGGTACAAATTGTATACGTATGACACCACTTTATCACAATCATGGTGTTTGATTTTAACCAAATGTACGTGAAGGGTGATAGTACATATACAATGACAGCAGTAGTCATTGAGCCAGTTTTCCTTGAGTCCTCACAGAATATTTGACAAAATAGGAGAGAATATTAATCTAACAAATCTAAATTAGTTTAAATAAACTTTCATATTATCTATTAACTGGAAACATTCAAATCTTACCACTGCATGACATTTTTTTAAAAATCCTTATGTGAACAATTTCAACTTGGACAGAGAACAGATATAAAAAGATCTTGCGATGTCAGGTTCATAAGAAGTAAGTGTTTGGGTAAAGTCTGTGAAGATAAGATACAAATTGGTTCCCAAATTTTTAGTGTTTGAAATGCCATTTCAATCATATAGATCACGATTATTATACTGTTCTAGTGAAACTCACAGGAGAAAGATGGTCCCATGAGAAAGTAGAAAAAAGGCACCTTAGTAGAAAAAGAAGCTTCATATGATGTGAATTGCCAAATGGGCAGTAATCTTCCTCCATACTCCAGGGGTAATGATCACCTTCGCTCTGCAAACCACTAGCACATGTCATGGCAAAATTGAGGGCACACGCAAAATAATTTAATTGGAGAGAAAAACTGACCAATCACAGACTGACATGCTCCTTTTGAAGATTACAATGTAGTGACACCCAACTTCAAAGCCATTACAATATACTGTTGTATGACCTGGAGATTAGTTCAATGTAAATCAAAGGATCAAACTAGTCTTTTCTAAACCTACAATTTAGCCATGACATGTTCCAGGGGAGCAGAGAGCAAAAGTAACCATAACTCCTGCAGTATCGGGGATAAACGGTAATTAAAGATACAAATATTCCATATATTATAATTTTGCCCCAATAAATATTACATCTAGCTTGTACGTTCCTGTAAACACAGGGCTCTTACACCCCATTTTGGGACTGGGGCCCGGGGCCCTTTGAAATTGGGAAAAAATAATGGTGTTTTCCTTAGAATCGGGAAAACTTGGGGTCTAAATTGGGAAAAAAAGATACTATTTTACATTGGGAATGGGGCCAAATATCGGTCCCAAATCTGGAGGATCGAGAGCCCTTAAAATATTGAATTTTTTTTTATATTTATATACATTTATATATGTCTTAGCATGACTATATATTAATATGTTGGACAATGTAATGGAATGGATTAAGGAAGAAACCATTCAATTCATGCATTTTCAGGCCTTCAATTCTTGATCTATGACAACACCAAAATGCCTTGTCAAGACATTCTATAACTGCCTAACCATTACACCACCATAACAATTGAAAAAAAGATGCTTGAGAATTTTATTGAAAAACAGCTAGAATTTTTTTTACATGATCACTGTCTAATTACAGCAAATAAATGTCATTAGTTGCAATATAATATACATTCATATCTGCAAATTGTCTTAATAACACACATTGAACATTACGACATATGATGCATTGTGTTAATGTATTGATATTTCAAACATTAGATTAAGGACGACACTGTATTCTTATTTCTACACATACATGTATATAATTATTATTCTGATAAAGAGTGTGATGTTTTTATAATAGATCTTGAAATTTAATACATTCATAAAAAGATATATCTGAACAAAAGGAATTTCTATAAGTAGGAAAGAAACAGTAATATGTCACATACAACACTTATTCTGATAGAATTAATCTTTTTGACACAAATATCAATCTGAGTTTTGATCTTATGGCTGAGCAAAATTTTAAAAGTAAATCGGGAAAACGACAGATCCCATTCTTTTTATTTTTGTTCAAATTGATTCCTTCAGATTAGAAATTCCTTTTTGTTTTCCTCCTGTTCTTAACCAGTGACCTGCCAATTTCTTTTTAAATTGTTTATATTATATGTAGGACCATAAACGGATGTTGGCCAACAGATCTAGCGGAAGCGTAATATTTGGGTACTTTCAGAAATAGAAAACATTTATACATTGTATGTATATATTGAACCGCTTAAAGTAAATGAAAATGCTTCAATATTTTATCGGTATGTCAATATATAATGGAATAGCGCAGTAAAATGTCTAAATAATTGCATTATGAGTCAAATTACCGCCATTGGACACACCTGTGTTGGTGTTTACCTGAGAAAAGCTAATCAACGCTAACCGAAGTATTATTTAATTAATTATATAACTATAATACTTACATATAGCTGGAAGACCTTGGAGTATAACGATTAAAAACAGGGAATTCATTCAAATTTTGTGCAGATCTTCAAACCAGGAAATCGTCTTTCATACCTGTGTACCTGTAACGTCCCGTCTAACTTTCGATTCTGTACAAGACGCGACGGTCCCCAATATCCGCCAATGACTCATCTTTCGGACAGTTATCTCCCTTCTCATTTGAGGATATTTCTTATCTTTTATCTTCATGTTTGTTTTCGTATTAAGATGAGGGAAACAAATAGATAAACATCATGAATAAACAATACATACATATTTTTTTTTACCCAAGCATTTACAAGTTTAAGATGCAAGTTGATAAACTTCTTTTCCGGAGAATCGTTAAATTTTCCGGTTTCATTGTTTACAATTAACTTACTAGACTTCCGGGGAGGAGCAATGGATGTAAACAAACCAGGTTTGGTTTAATATTAAAAACTAAACATGGCAAATAATACCGACCAGGGAAGTGGGTCAGAATATGTAAGCTTTGTGTGTCAACGATGTCGGCAGCCACTAAAACTTGATCATTCGTTTAACACCATCAACAAACAGTTATTGACTGAATTGACAGGTGAGAATCGATCGTCAGACCATACAGATCTGTACTTTTTATGCAGAAGACAGATTTTTACACAGACATATTATACTCGCGATCGTTGTTAAAACGGCTTCATTGATTTACATCGTTATGACTCTATAAATAGAATTAACACTTTAATAGATATATAGTACAGAACTAAATTATGAGAGTCCATATTATGATAATTCAGCTCATTGCTATTTAATAGAAGCACAAAACGTATGCCTATAAAGTTACAGGGTTCCAAAAATAGATTTAACCACCGGCTGTACCAATAAAGGAGAGATGTGTGGAAGAGATTAACTTTATCATATAGTCGAAATTATTTGACTCTCTATCAACTTTTTTATTAGAAAGTTAATGGAATAACTCAGACTAACTACACCACTGAGTTAATTTTTTAAAAAAAATATACCAGGTGTACACTTACATCAATGTATGACACAAATCTTTATTTATTTAGGTACATGTATGATATACTCTACAATAGAGAGAAAGAGAGAGGAGAAGGCCATTACCAGTCCTTATCGCTTACTGTTTAAACATAAGACAACTGATTGTGATTTTTTTGATTTCAGCACCACTCACAAAAAATGTGGACCAAGATGAAACCATCAACATATTTAAATCAGGAAATGAGGTACTTATCTCAGAGTTACATTCCTCTGACAATTACTTTCAGTTAGCTATAGCTGATCAATAGATATTAGCAGTATTTGTACATGAAATGATTATGTACATGTCATACTGTTTTATTAGGTCCAATTATTTGTAGATCTAGATTTTGATCTTCAGGGGCCACTCTGTCAGTTTCAGGATCGACCTATGTAACTATAGGTGATGATCCAAGGTGTGTGGTTTGATGCTTCCTATCCAAAGTTACCATACTGTGTTGTCCTGAGAGATAACCTTATGATCATGATGTTGTTACTGATACACTAAATTATTGTTCTTTGACATCCTGGGAGATGACCTTTGGACCTGATCATGACATGATAATTGATATGTAAAGTACAAACTGAGATATTAATGTTGATATTTGATCTTCTGCTTGAACACAGTCACATTGTTTATTTCAGAGTTCAGGGAAGCACCCTGAAGATAATATGGTTGTGCAACGAGTCATTCCCCCAAGGTAGGTAATTCAGGGAGTTATTTCCCCAAGGTAGGTAATTCAGGGAGTTATTTCCCTAAGGTAGGTAATTCAGGGAGTTATTTCCCAAAGGTAGGTAATTCAGGGAGTTATTTCCCTAAGGTAGGTAATTCAGGGTGTTATTTCCCTGAGGTAGGTAATTCAGGGAGTTATTTCCCTAAGGTAGGTAATTCAGGGTGTTATTTCCCTAAGGTAGGTAATTCAGGGAGTTATTTCCCAAAGGTAGGTAATTCAGGGAGTTATTTCCCTAAGGTAGGTAATTCAGGGTGTTATTTCCCAAGTAAAGTAAATTAAGGAGTCATTTCCCAAAGTAAGGTAAATTAAGGAGTCATTTCCCAAAGGTATGTCACTCAGGGAGTCATTCTTCCAAGATATATAACTTCAGGAGTCTTTTCCCCATGTAAGGTAAATTAAGGAGTCTGTTACTAATGGGTCATTCAGTCAGGGTATTTAACTTAAAGAGACATATAATGTCATATAAGCATTTAACAAGTTATATACTGTGCAACATACTTTGTGAGCATTGTCAGAAATCTGTTTTTTTTCTTCAGTATTCTGTATGAGGAGGAGGCAGGGCACGACTTTCTTCTACTGGGTGAGACAGGGTCAGGATATACAGACAATTTAAGTCACAGGGTCAAGGTGAGTATCACAGGGTCAAGGTGAGTATCACATTGTCAAAATGAATATCACCAAAGTTAGTATAACAAGGTCAAGGTGAATCACAGTATTTCAAGGTTAAGGTGAGTTAACATCCCTAGGGTCAAGGTAAGATGGCAGGTGTATCTGTTATAGAAGTGTTATGATAGATAATGGGATGGCATACACATTATTCAGATTTCTGATGTATGTTTTTTGTAGGTAAACAGTATCCTGTTTGATATAATGTCTGGCCAGTCTGATGTTGATCATCCTCTCTGTGAGGTAAGTGTATCGTGTAATGGAAACTAAGTATACATACCTTGTGTTACAGGTGTGTCCTGTGTTACAGGTGTGTCCTGTTTGACAGGTGTGTTCTGTGTTACACGTGTGTCCTGTGTTACAGATGTGTCCTGTGTTACAGATGTGTCATTTCACTTGCAGTTGCTTGGTGTAATTCTGTGAGGGCCTCTGATCAAACTTCATACACCATGATATATGATGTAATATCTTGCATAATAGAAGTGGCAGTGTCAGCGGGTCAAGTTCAAGGTCACCTGTTTTTGTTGTTAGATAACCCTGATTTTGATCCAACTTCACACATAACACTTATTCAGGATCATAATATCTCAGACAGGTTTTATGGTTCATGTAGGGTCAAGGTCATCTTTGTTATCACATGTTTTCATTTTAGGAGTGTTTTGACTGAACTTCTTGTACTAAAAAATGATTATAGTATTCAGTATAGTATGTTACAGGCTTCCGGGTTGTAGAATCAAGGTCAAGGTCAACTTATCTACTTTTAGAAAATCTTTTTCATCACTCACCGAGTTTGCAGTGAGTGTTTTACAGATTCTCTTGGATTTCAGTTTTTACACTTCTAAAGGCTGTAATTACGATTAGCTTCAACGTGAAGTCTGAGTCATCGTTTCTCAAGATATTGGGATGAAAGTGGACACACATGATCAACTTTATGCACATCATGGTCAGTTTAGTTTGACCCATTAGGGGATTAGTATCATTTATAATGCCTTTGTATATATAAGATGGAAGATTTCCAGCATTTTTATCCTTACAGCTACGAGTATTTAACGTTATCTTTATTTGTATTTACAGGAATGTACCGACAATCTGCTAGATCAACTCGATCACCAGCTCAAGATCACTGAAGACGAGTGTAAAGATTACAGGTATATTGTCTGTGGTGAAGACTTTAGTCAAATGATTCAGAACGCTTTCACCCATTTCTGTCTCAGAGTTTCTCTTCCTGAGGATATGAAAAGGTAGTAATTACATAGGGTCCCCAGCCTAACCAGCTCCAGTTTTCTACAAGTATTATAGTTTCTGCCAATTATGAAATTCCTGGTTTTCCAACTCCGCCAGCATTAGAATGATCTAAAGGGGTCCGTATATATCTTTGTTTACATCTGTTATAAAATTATCATTATAATAGTTTTATCAATTTTTTCATGAGAGGGTAGGTGACTGTGTGTTTGTATCAGAAGCTTGATGTTCATTCTTGTCTCAACCAGTACTACACATGATTAGATTTTGCTGGTCATAAGTCAAGGTTCAGGGTCATAAGTCAAAAATGAAATGAGACAGGCACCATATATGATCTCTCATCTCTTGTTGACTGGTGAATAAGGAAATAAGTTTTCTACCTTCTGAGATCTCACTGAAAACATTTAGCTCTGACATCACTAATACAGTTCATGACATCAATAATCCAGTGTCTGGCATCACTATTACTGTGTCATGTTAAAAGTCATGTTTGTGACATTTGTGTCATATGATATGAATGACATAATGACATAAATGACGACACTGACAAGTCGTGTGATAAGTGATGAAGGATATTGATCTGTTGATTGTATTTGTTTAGAGAGTTTCTTGAGAACCTGAGTACATCTGAGGAGAACCAAGAGGTAACAGGATTGGACGATGAACTCAAACAAGTAAATATACATACAACACTACTTTTCTTAAATTCTTATCTCTCCAAAAAAAATGTGAAAATATCATCTAAACATAGGCATGCTTACTTATCAAAATACAAATGATGAAACAACATTGTTCTTTAACTTCACAGCTGGTTTTGTGTTTTTCAAAGATAAACATTTTCATTTGCACTTGATTTCATGGCTAATTTTGCTCGTAAAATCTTCTGGTACTATTATCCATGTCATTTGTTCATTTTTTTATTACTAAGAAATTGTGGATTCAAAGTACACACAAATTCAACAAAAACGAATCCCGTTCAATTTTATCACAGTTATTTAGGATTGTATGTTGACTGGGCAAGTAGTTTTGCTATATTTGTGGTTAATGAATATAATGTGTAATTAAATAGCCAGAAAATATTTTGAAAGTGAATGTTATGCTTGTAAATATTGATAAAATATATATAGACAAATGTAAAATTGAATATTCAGACAACCGTGAAATATATGAAAAGTGAAATTTTACAGCTATAGTATATTCACATTACCTGGATAAACCCATCACCATTTTAATCACTGCTATGATGATGCAGGAAGAGATGGTGTGACAGTATGTATTATATACAAGTATAATTTACTAAATATAATCATGTGACAGTTGGCTGCTGAGAAGGAAGCCTTAAAACAAGAATTGGAAAATGTGGAACGAGAAAGGAAGGACATGACGAGACAAATAGAAGCTGAGAAAGAGATTGCCAAAGAGTTAGAAGAGGAAGAAGAAAGGTAGAAAACTTCTGTGTCAAATATCAACATCTGTATCAGTAACATGCTTGATATAGATACTTTAACATCTGTGTCAAATATCAACATCTGTATCAGTAACATGCTTGATATAGATACTGTAACATCTGTGTCAAATATCAACATCTGCATCAGTAACATGGTTGATATAGATACTGTAACATCTGTGTCAAATATCAACATCTGTATCACTAAGATGCTTGATATAGATACTGTAACATCTGTGTCAAATATCAACATCTGTATCAGTAACATGCTTGATAGAGATACTGTAACGTCTGTGTCAAATAAAAACATCTGTATCAGTAACATGTTTGATATAGATACTTAAACATCTGTGTTAAATATCAACATCCACATCTGTTTCAGTAACATGCTTGATATAGATACTTTAACATCTGAGTCAAATAAAAACATCTGTATCAGTAATATGCTTGATAACTAAAGTAATCATTTATCTTCAGACTTTGTTTAAAGTACATTCTTTTTGCTTCAAGGTTTTGATAAAACTCCAAACAATTGAAAGTAAACTTAGTCTGTGTCAGAATTCTGTTGTTGTTTGTGATAGGTACTGGAAAGAGTATAACGAATTCAAGCGTCAAGTACAAAGTTTGGAGGATGAGCAACGCAGGTAATATCAAATATGTAATGATGTTTTAAGTTAGTGTAACAGTGTAAATCTTGGAGAGGACAGTTCTGTTTGTATAAAGTTTAAAGTCATCAGAAGATATTACTTCAAGCCTAGATTGATTATGGTAGCTTTAGGATTTACAGCTGTGTGTTGGTTAGAGACTTGATGAAGAGTGTGTATCACATTCACACAGATTTATCTACAAGTAATGAAGTGTTGGGGCAGTGTTATGGAGGAATTATACAAAAATACTCGCAAGGGAATAACACCTTACCATAAAAGATTTAGAAGAAGACACTGTAGAGTTAAATAATGAATTAAACTGCATTATACAGCTGTTTGTCCTTCAAAGCTTTAAGTGCATTGTGAGTTAATACAACTGTAAGTTCTAAATCGTGAAACATATAAAACTAAGGAAAATCCAAATAAAAGTCAGAACCCAGATGGGGAGACACACTAACCCCTACATTAGATAAGTACTATTTGAATGAATTTAAACATGACATGCTGGTTACGGGAAACCTCAAGGACGGAAAGTTCACCAGCAGTGTCTACCACCTGTTACCTGAGAGGATTGTACAGAAGACACAACTAAATAGCTACTTCTCAAGTTTATTCATTGATTGAAAGGGGAGACTTTCGTTGAAATTTCTGAATTTCAATGAAAACATTTTACCTTTATTGGCAAACAAAAGAGTAATTGTTCTAAAACCTCAAATTAGTTTGATGGACTTTCATACCTTCTCCTACAATTACTTCTTTATACTTTATCTTCTCCATAATTATCAGGTTCGTATTATTTAGGCGACAAGTACATGAGTTCAGGTCGATGGAAAAATTCCTTGATGCAGTTTTATTCATTATAATGATGGTTGTGTCTCTCCTGTATCAGGTTTTAGTTACTTTGTGTGTGTATGTGTTCTACATCCACATAAGCTGTGCTAGATTTTCTAAATAATGTATTCAAAATCATTTTTATCATACCAGGGGGGGGGGGGAATTCAGGTGTTACCCATGTTGATCTGTACTATCACATCATTTCATGTCACGTCCTGTGCCTCGATAAAATAATAAGGTTCATATTTTGATCAGATTCTGGTTCACACTTACCCTATAGTATCATATTGATCAGATATTCTAGTTTAAAGTATAGTGGCTTTAATATTCATGTGTTGTAGACATTTTCTAGTTTGTAAAACAATGTATTTTTCTTACTATGTTTAGAGCAACTGTGCATTTTTCATTATAAATGATTGATGAATGAAACCTTTTGTTTCATTAAGAAACAACACCATGGTGAACTGCAGGCAGCAGTTCTCTTGTGCAAGTTGTTCTATATTAAAGCAGCTGTTTTAGCCTTGTTACTATTTGTAAATTTAACTGCATTAATGAAAATTAATTGTTTATTGTTTTAAGTGTGGACAACCAGCTTAAATATGCCCAGACACAACTAGACCGATTAAAGAAAACCAATGTTTTCAACACAACATTCCATATTTGGTAAGGCTTACCAGTAAAATGTCAATTAATCAAATCAGATATCAATATAATGTAGATCCTGTAAATCTGATATATGATGATCAATTTAATGTCAGTTGGGTTCACTTAATTAATTTGCAAGTTGAGTGTGTTTTATCACTTCATGTCACATTTTGAGCTTCATTTGATGTTCAAAATATAAGCCAGTTTTTAAAGATTGTTGCTGCTGTTTTCTGAAGAGCTAAACTGATCTTGAGCTCATCAGTTGTTTACACCAGGTACTTGAGATATAAGTCTAACATTTTTTGCCATCATACTCTGATACTGGTTTTTCTTTACAGGCACAGCGGTCACTTTGGGACAATAAACAACTTCAGGCTAGGGAGACTTCCAAGTGTTCCTGTAAGTTTTAATCTAAAACAATTAAAGTTTGGCAAAAAATGACAATTCAATTAGCCACAACCTTGGTGGAAGATATTAATGTTTGATTCGACTTCTAGAAAATTTCAGAAAATTACAAATAAGAGATAGATTAGTGTCATATTACATACTTTACTAACAGAATTTAATTTGGGTGTATAGAATCTTATGCTATTCAAATCACTTTGCATCCGTGGTGCATCGATACAGCCATAAACAACTTTTGTTATTGCTATTTCTTGAGAAGTCCTGGATGGATACAACTTTCAAAGAGTATATAAAGATCAAACAATGGTGGGCGCCAAGATCCTTCTGGGATATCTTGTTATAGCTAATTTTCAAATCCTTTTTATGTTTGTTTTTTATTCTTGTTGTTTTCTTGAAATTAAAATCTGAAAGTGAAATCTCAGGAAAACATACTGTGGAAGAGATCCATGAAGTATCTCAAACTGTAGAACAGAAGTCAGGGTTCAGCATCATTTCATTTAAATGTCTCCAGTCTGACAGGGTTTTAAGTTAATCTCAATATCACACGTTCACTGTCCCGAGTTTTCAACGTACATGTATTGACTTAACAGCCAGCTTAACTCTAATTTTGTTTATCAGGTGTGTAAACTGATGAATTATTCAAAGTTACTATCAGAATGACTGTTTGAAGGATCAGAGTTTGTAACATTTTTCACAAAATTCCCAGCAATCAGTTCTTCTATTTACTTTCAGGTTGATTGGAACGAGATCAATGCAGCGTGGGGACAAACTGTTTTACTTCTTCATTCACTAGCCAACAAAATGGGGCTGACATTTAAAAGGTTTGGAACTTTGGATGAACTCTTGATCATATAACATCAACAACATGGGAGGTTGGGGGAGGGGTGGGGAGGGGCGGGGGTGGGGGGCAGACATTCAAAGATTTCTATAAAACTTTGGACTCAATATGTAGAGAAAGATACTAGAATTTACTGATCACGATGTATATTACAACTCTAACAGCTGATCATGATGTATATTACCACTCTAACAGCTGATCATGATGTATATTACAACTCTAACAGCTGATCATGATGTATATTACCACTCTAACAGCTGATCATGATATTACAACTCTAACAGCTGATCATGATGTATATTACAACTCTAACAGCTTACAATGATTTTCATTTCCTAGGAGCTCTGTGAAAATCACAAGGTTTTAGAGGTGAGGTAAATTGTAAAACTTGTGACTCCTTCCGTGTGAATAGAAACTTATAAAATCCTATATCTTGTAAGGTATAAAGGTATACAGATTCTGTACTTCATAAATCACTCTGAAGATAGAATACAAAACTGATGTATCAGAACATTTCTTACGTTTGCCTTCCTATTTCAGCCAATGTCTTGTGTTACTTGTGTTAATTTGTTTCTGATAGCATAGATTAACTTGTTTTTTTCCGTTTTTTTAAGATATCGTTTGGTTCCCTATGGTAATCATTCCTATGTGGAATCGCTCACTGACAAATCCAAAGAATTACCTTTATACGGCTCGGGAGGATTTCGTTTCTTCTGGGATACAAAGTAAGATACAAGCCTGACAGTATATTGTAGAGTGTACCACACGTCACTACCTAACTTATTGCCTTACAGTCTATTGTAGAGTATACCACACGTCACTACCTAACTTATTGCCCTACAGTCTATTGTAGAGTATACCACACGTCACTACCTAACTTATTGCCTTACAGTCTATTGTAGAGTATACCACACGTCACTACCTAACTTATTGCCTTACAGTTTATTGTAGAGTATACCACCCATCACTTCCTAACTTATTGCCTTACAGTCTATTGTAGAGTATACCACACGTCACTACCTAACTTATTGCCTTACAGTCTATTGTAGAGTATACCACACGTCACTACCTAACTTATTGCCTCACAGTCTATTGTAGAGTATACCACATGTCACTACCTAACTTATTGCCTGAGTGTCTATTGTAGAGTATACCACACGTCACTACCTAACTTATTGCCCTACAGTTTACTGTAGAGTATACCACACGTCACTACCTAACTTATTGCCTGACATTCTATTGTAGAGTATACCACCCATCACTACCTAACTTATTGCCCTACAGTTTACTGTAGAGTATACCACCCATCACTACCTAACTTATTGCCTTACAGTTTATTGTAGAGTATACCACACATCACTCTCTTACTTATTGCATTACAGTTTATTGTAGAGTATACCACCCATCACTACCTAACTTATTGCCTTACAGTCTATTGTAGAGTATACCACACGTCACTACCTAACTTATTGCCTTACAGTCTATTGTAGAGTATACCACACGTCACTACCTAACTTATTGCCTTACAGTCTATTGTAGAGTATACCACACGTCACTACCTAACTTATTGCCTTACAGTCACTACTATTGTAGAGTATACCACCCATCACTACCTAACTTATTGCCCTACAGTTTACTGTAGAGTATACCACATGTCACTACCTAACTTATTGCTTTACAGTCTATTGTAGAGTATACCACACGTCACTACCTAACTTATTGCCTTACAGTCTATTGTAGAGTATACCACACGTCACTACCTAACTTATTGCCCTACAGTCTATTGTAGAGTATACCACACGTCACTACCTAACTTATTGCCCTACAGTTTACTGTAGAGTATACCACATGTCACTACCTAACTTATTGCTTTACAGTTTATTGTAGAGTATACCACACATCACTACCTAACTTATTGCCTTACAGTCTATTGTGGAGTATACCACACGTCACTACCTAACTTATTGCCTGACAGTCTATTGTAGAGTATACCACACGTCACTACCTAACTTATTGCCTACACATTGAACTTTTTCCCAAAAATTTTTTTACATTGTTGATTTAAGTGATCATTCAATAAACAAAAGTTTTCTAATTTAATTGACCAAATAAGTCTTAAATTAGCAGATTTTGCTGGTGGCCAATTTTTGGTGCATAACAAATCTTCAATAAATGTTTAGATTTTATGAAATTTTTTTCCCAAAAAATTTTTAATTTTGATTTAATTCAAATTTAATTTAATTTACCAAATAAGTCTTAAATTAGCAGATTTTGCTAGTGGCCAATTTTGGGTGCATAACAAATCTTCAATAAATGTTTAGATTTTATGAAATTTTAAATTCTAATTTTGATTTAATTTAATTTAATTTTCACTCTGTTTTCAGGTTTGACCAGGCAATGGTTGCATTTTTAGATTGCCTACAACAGGTTAGTTTCTATTGAATAATCTCATGTATGTAAGCATCAAACTGTTTTCAGTTGACATTCATCGCTATATGAATGCCAACAGGATAAGGAGAAATTACATTATACATTATAGTCCTTCATGTCCAATTTGCCTTTATCCAGTTTCCCAGGAATGCCAACTAAAACCTGTTCAATGCTTAAATCTATCATTCAGTTATCATCCAATGGGAGACAATCTCCATTTGTTTACATTCATTACAATATTTCTGTGCCAATGGCAATTCATGAGCTGGTAATTGCACTATTAACTGTGGAAAAGTTAGACTATAGCAATGCTCCACAAATGTTTGTGTAATTTGATGTAGACAGCCGCGAGATTAATTATAGTGTCTGTAAATCTGCCATTTTTATGTGACAGATCTGGCAGTACATGTAAAGTTTGGCAAACTTGTACATCATTTTATGTCTACTAGTCCACCTATCAGTTCTAAAAAATCCTGTATTGTGGGTAATTTTTGTTGTGTAGAACAAAATTTGGTTTTGATTTGGAAAGCAAATTTGTATAAAAGCAGTAGTCTTTGATTTTGATGATTGTTTGGGTTGGATATATCTAATATTCCATGTGAAAGTTTCCGTCGGTCTGAATGTGTGTAGCAATCGAGTTATGACGGATTTTGAAAATGAAATTTCTGTCAGGTGATTATCGTGGATATTGACGATAAAAGTTTGTGATCACTATTTCTTATGAATTATTTGACAGATTCCCGTGGTCAATCATTATTCTGAACAAATTCTGATAAAAATTTGAAAGACAAGGGAGATGTATTTTATTTGTCCAATGTTTTAGATATTTTTGAAATTGACAAAGATAAATGGAAAAAGTTTTGCACCTTACTTGTTACTTCAGGCAAAACTGACTGTCCGCTTTATCAAGTTTTATTCTTTCAATCAAGTCTATCTGCATTTAGAAGATTGTCTGGGCAATAATTTCAATCTTTGTCACCAATTGATGATAAATCTCTTCTCTGTGTTATTAAATGTCCGTATATTCATTTCAGTTTAAGGAAGAGGTAGAGAAGGGTGATGCAAGTTTCTGTTTACCATACAAGATGGAGAAAGGCAAAATAGAAGACAACAGTTCAGGGACGTCTTACTCTGTCAAGTCAGTATATATTACCACAGTATAGAATTTCACAGGAATGATATATTTACTATTTCACAATACGCAAACAAGATCACAAAAAGATATGAAATAATGAGACACATGTGTATTAAATGTTCTTTTACATCCAGACCATGAAAGTTTAATCTGGTAAAATATCATTCAATCATTTAGAAAAGAAAATTGAAAAAAAAAATTGCCAAACAGTATTTATCTACCATTCTGTGAGGCCACAATAGCTGTTTTGGTGATAGGCTCAACCTCAAGTGTAGATAATGGGGTGTTGTTTGATGTCTTATATTGTGGTTCATGTTTATTCGGAAGATTAGAAATGGACCGGTCTATGTTGTTATAGTTAGATACTTGATATATAGTCAGGACATTTTATTTTATTACTCTGGAAAGCATGTGATGGGCCTCCTGCATGTTGTTCATTAAGGTAGCCACCAGTTACTGCAAAGAGACGCAACCTCAAAATATCCCGGCTGTTTATGGGGTGATTAATCTGACAAAACAAATCTGTTCCGTGATCAAACTGTAGAAATTATTCTTTCTGTTTTACTTATATGTAGTACGATTGTTATCTCTTTGTCACACATATCCCTATGTATGTGGTCACACATACCTCTATGTCAGTAGTCACACATATCTCTAAGTATGTGGTCACACACATCTCTATGTATGTGGTCACACACACCTCTATGTATGTGGTCACACATACCTCTATGTATGTGGTCACACACACATATGTATGTGGTCACACACACCTCTATGTATGTGGTCACACACACCTCTATCTATGTATGTGGTCACACATATCTCTATGTATGTGGTCACACACACCTCTATGTATGTGGTCACACACACCTCTATATATGTGGTCACACATACCTCTATATATATGGTCACACACACCTCTATATATGTGGTCACACACACCTCTATATATGTGGTCACACATATCTCTATGTATGTGGTCACACATACCTCTATGTATGTGGTCACACATACCTCTATGTATGTGGTCACACATACCTCTATGTAAGTGGTCACACATACCTCTATGTCAGTGGTCACACACACCTCTATATATGTGGTCACACATACCTCTATGTAAGTGGTCACACATACCTCTATATATGTGGTCACACATACCTCTATGTATGTGGTCACACATATCTCTATATATGTATGTGGTCACACACACCTCTATGTATGTGGTCACACATACCTCTATATATGTGGTCACACATACCTCTATGTCACTGGTCACACATATCTCTATGTCAGTGGTCACACACACACACATCTATATATATGTACACATGTGGTCACACATATCTATATATATGTATGAGGTCACACACACCTCTATATATGTGGTCACACACACCTCTATGTATGTGGTCACACACACCTCTATGTATGTGGTCACACATACCTCTATATATGTAGTCACACATACCTCTATATATGTGGTCACACATACCTCTATATATATGGTCACACATACCTCTATGTCAGTGGTCACACACACCTCTATGTATGTGGTAGAAATATAGCTTTATCTGATAGAAACCATCCAGTTTATCAAGTGAATATTCTAATCACACATTTTCAGTAAGTTCTGGTTTGAAATTGAGCATACATGTTTAAGGAGACATAATGGTCCTGCTGAGTCTTGTGTTAAAAATTGTATTGAAACCAGATAATCCAGTTACAAAAAAATCATTGTAAATATATAACCTTTCTGCATTGTCTTACTACATTGTGGGTATTCCCAGATATAAAATAATCTCAGTAAATCTATAACCTAACTACATTGTAACTCTATAACCTTACTACACTGTAACTCTATAACCTTACTACATTGTAACTCTTTAACCTAACTACACTGTAACTCTATAACCTTTCTACATTGTAACTCTATAACCTTACTACATTGTAACTCTATAACCTAACTACATTGTAACTCTATAACCTAACTGTAACTCTATAACCTAACTACATTGTAACTCTATAACCTTACTACATTGTAACTCTATAACCTTACTACATTGTAACTCTATAACCTTACTACATTGTAACTCTATAACCTAACTGTAACTCTATAACCTTAACCTATATCATTGTAACTCTATAACCTTACTACATTGTAACTCTATAACCTAACTGTAACTCTATAACCTAACTGTAACTCTATATCCTAAATACATTGTAACTCTATAACCTAACTACATTATAACTCTATAACCTAACTGCACTGTAACTCTATAACCTAACTACATTGTAACTCTATAACCTAACTACATTATAACTCTATAACCTAACTGCACTGTAACTCTATAACCTAACTACATTGTAACTCTATAACCTAACTACATTGTAACTCTATAACCTTACTACATTGTAACTCTATAACCTTACTACATTGTAACTCTATAACCTTACTACACTGTAACTCTATAACCTTACTACATTGTAACTCTATAACCTTACTACATTGTAACTCTATAACCTAACTGTAACTCTATAACCTAACTGTAACTCTATAACCTAACTACATTGTAACTCTATAACCTAACTACATTGTAACTCTATAACCTAACTACATTGTAACTCTATAACCTAACTGGGACTAACACATAACTCTATAACCTAACTTGTAACTCTATAACCTACTACATAACTCTATAACCTAACATTGTAACTCTATAAACCTAACTACAGTATAACTCTATAACTCTATAACCTTACTACATTGTAACTCTATAACCTAACTACATTATAACTCTATAACCTCACTACATTGTAACTCTATAACCTTACTACATTGTAACTCTATAACCTAACTACATTGTAACTCTATAACCTTACTACATTGTAACTCTATAACCTAACTACTTGTACATTGTTACTCTATAACCTACTACATTGTAACTCTATAACCTAACTACATTGTAACTCTATAACCTTATCTATAACCTAACTACATTGTAACTCTATAACCTAACTACATTGTAACTCTATAACCTAACTGTAACTCTATAACCTAACTGTAACTCTATAACCTAACTACATTGTAACTCTATAACCTTACTACATTGTAACTCTATAACCTAACTACACTGTAACTCTATAACCTAACTACATTGTAACTCTATAACCTAACTACATTGTAACTCTATAACCTAACTACATTGTAACTCTATAACCTCACTACACTAACTCTATAACCTAACTACATTGTAACTCTATAACCTAACTACATTGTAACTCTATAACCTAACTACATTTGTAACTCTATAACCTAACTACATTGTAACTCTATAACCTTATCTATAACCTAACTACATTGTAACTCTATAACCTAACTACATTGTAACTCTATAACCTAACTACACTGTAACTCTATAACCTTACTACATTGTAACTCTATAACCTAACTGTAACTCTATAACCTAACTGTAACTCTATAACCTAACTACAGTACAACTCTATAACCTAACTGTAACTCTATAACCTAACTACATTGTGGGTTTTCCCAGATATATAAAAAGTAATTTGTAACTCTGTACTTCTTGCTGACTGTGGGTTTTCCTGGATATAGCTTACTAAGACACTTTTATTTAACTATAACCTAACTGTAACTCTTAACCTAACAGTGGGTTTTAAGGCATTAAATTTATGCTAAACCTAACTACATTGTAACTTGCTAACAATTTTACACTGTAACTCACTATTGTGGACAACTTAAAGTTTATGCTGACAAATCTAAAGTGGGGTCTTGCCTGGGTCACTTACAGTTTGCCACAAAATAAGTTAGCCCAAATATCATCCTGTATGTTCGGACATATCTCATGTACCATGTGTCAGCTCCCGTCTGTCACGATATCACAATTACTGGAAACAATTTGGTTTGGCTTTGTACCGTCAGTCGCTGTTTTATCAGAAAAAGTCATAAACGTCTTGATCCTTTTTTTTTGTTAAACAAAATCATCAGATGAAGCTGTATAACTTGAAACCCATCTAACCTACCGTCACTTTTTTGTTAAACAAAATCATCAGATGAAGCTGTATAACTTGAAACCCATCTAAAGGATGAGATATGAGAAATAGTGTGAGACTTCAAACGACTAAAGAATGAGAAAAGTTTAAAGGGTGAGATAAGTAATATGAGAAATGGTTAGGAACTTCAAACAACTTAAAGAATGAGTTCAGCTGTTGTAAAAATGTTGGTTAAAAAATAACTTATGCCATAGTGAGAAATTTTTGTGAGAACTCAAATAACTTAAAAGCTTTTGTAGAAACTTATAACCTTCCTACATTGTCTCTAAACCTTACACTATTAATGTAAATTAACCTAAGCTGAAAGAATGTTAGAAATTGTGAGAAACAGAATGAAACTTTACACGACTTTGTGATAAATGTCATTGTGAGAAATTATGCGAGATTTGAGTAACTCTATAAGAATGTGATATTTATATTAAATTGATTGAAGATACAATATTGTGTTATATGTTATTGAAGACGTCACTATTTAATTGTGCAATAAGATTGTAGGTTAAGTTCACTGAAATGTTCATAAAAATCATTCTGTGTTTTTAAAAGACAGTTCATGCCATTTTGATTGACATGCAATAAACAAATGGAAATTGATCTATAACCTTACTACATTGTAACATAACCTGTAACTCTATAACCTAACATGTAACCTAACTACATTGTAACTCTATAACCTAACTACATTGTAACTCTATAACCTAACTACATTGTAACTCTATAACTTACTACATTGTAACTCTATAACCTAACTACATTGTAACTCTATAACCTAACTACATTGTAACTCTATAACCTAACTACATTGTAACTCTATAACCTAACTTTAACTCTATAACCTAACTACATTGTAACTCTATAACCTAACTACATTGTAACTCTATAACCTAACTACATTGTAACTCTATAACCTAACTACATTGTAACTCTATAACCTAACTACATTGTAACTCTATAACCTAACTACATTGTAACTCTATAACCTTATCTATAACCTAACTACATTGTAACTCTATAACCTAACTACATTGTAACTCTATAACCTTATCTATAACCTAACAACATTGTAACTCTATAACCTAACTACATTGTAACTCTATAACCTAACTACATTGTAACTCTATAACCTAACTACATTATAACTCTATAACCTAGCTGTAACTCTATAACCTAACTACATTATAACTCTATAACCTTACTACATTGTAACTCTATAACCTAACTGTAACTCTATAACCTTTCTACATTGTAACTCTATAACCTAACTACATTGTAACTCTATAACCTAACTACATTGTAACTCTATAACCTTACTACATTGTAACTCTATAACCTAACTACATTATAACTCTATAACCTAACTACATTGTAACTCTATAACCTAACTACATTGTAACTCTATAACCTAACTACATTGTAACTCTATAACCTAACTACATTGTAACTCTATAACCTAACTACATTGTAACTCTATAACCTAACTACATTGTAACTCTATAACCTAACTACATTGTAACTCTATAACCTAACTACATTGTAACTCTATAACCTAACTACATTGTAACTCTATAACCTAACTACATTGTAACTCTAAACCTCTACATAACTCTATAACCTTACTACATTGTAACTCTATAACCTAACTACATTGTAACTCTATAACCTAACTACATTGTAACTCTATAACCTAACTACATTGTAACTCTATAACCTTACTACATTGTAACTCTATAACCTAACTACATTGTAACTCTATAACCTAACTGTAACTCCATAACCTAACTACATTGTGGGTTTTCCCAGATATATAAAAAGTAATTTGTAACTCTGTACTTCTTGCTGACTGTGGGTTTTCCTGGATATAGCTTGCTAAGACACTTTTATTTAACATTTACAATTTTACATTGACAGGATCCAGTTCAACTCAGAGGAGCAGTGGACAAAGGCATTAAAGTTTATGCTGACAAATCTAAAGTGGGGTCTTGCCTGGGTCACTTCGCAGTTTGCCACAAAATAAGTTAGCCCAAATATCATCCTGTATGTTCGGACATATCTCATGTACCATGTGTCAGCTCCCGTCTGTCACGATATCACAATTACTGGAAACAATTTGGTTTGGCTTTGTACTGTCAGTCGCTGTTTTATCAGAAAAAGTCATAAACGTCTTGATCCTTTTTTTTTGTTAAACAAAATCATCAGATGAAGCTGTATAACTTGAAACCCATCTAAAGGATGAGATAAGTAGATATGAGAAATAGTGTGAGACTTCAAACGACTCGGTTAAAGAATGAGAAAAGTTTAAAGGGTGAGATAAGTAGATATGAGAAATGGTTAGGAACTTCAAACAACTTAAAGAATGAGTTCAGCTGTTGTAAAAATGTTGGTTAAAAAATAACTTATGCCATAGTGAGAAATTTTTGTGAGAACTCAAATGACTTGGTACAAAATTAAAAGCTTTTGTGAGAAACAGAATGAAACTTTACACGACTTTAATGATAAAGTCATTGTGAGAAATTATGCGAGATTTGAGTCATGAAAGAATGTGATATTTATATTAAATTGATTGAAGATACAATATTGTGTTATATGTTATTGAAGACGTCACTATTTAATTGTGCAATAAGATTGTAGGTTAAGTTCACTGAAATGTTCATAAAAATCATTCTGTGTTTTTAAAAGACAGTTCATGCCATTTTGATTGACATGCAATAAACAAATGGAAATTGATTCATCGTAACTTTGTTTCTGCCAATATCTCGTTACACAGTATAATAATATTTTAAATGGAAGAACCTGATTAATTATAGTAAGTACATGTTTTTCAGGTAGTGTGTGAAATGTTGATGAAAGACTATCAGTGTTATTTATGAGTATCAAAAGTAAATGATAGCTTTAATGTGAATTTCTATTAACCAGCTGCTACATGAGTACCAATCAGTATACCACAAGTACTACCATGAGTACCAATCAGTATACCACGAGTACCAATCAGTATACCACGAGTACCAATCAGTATACCACGAGTACCAATCAGTATACCAGGAGTACCAATCAGTATACCACGAGTACCAATCAGTATATCACGAGTACCAATCAGTATACCACGAGTACCAATCAGTATACCACGAGTACCAATCAGTATACCACGAGTACCAATCAGTATACCACGAGTACCAATCAGTATACCACGAGTACCAATCAGTATACCACGAGTACCAATCAGTATACCACGAGTACCAATCATTATACCACGAGTACCACCACGAGTACCAATCAGTATACCACGAGTACCAATCAGTATACCATGAGTACCACCACGAGTACCAATCAGTATACCACGAGTACCAATCAGTATACCACGAGTACCAATCAGTATACCATGTTACATGTAACATGGTGGTATGAATATACAGGACATAAATGTGAACAATAAAATTAAAATTAAAAATGAAATTGATAAACACATGTTTATCAGTACATGAAGGATCTGCCGAGAAATACTGGCTTCACAACTATCATTAGATTTTTTGTTCAAATCAAATCACGCAGCACAAGCGTACGACTAAACTAGGAGGAAATACCAGAAACATCTAGATATGTGTGTTTTGTATAAACTAGCTTTCATATACTGGTGGATGATCTATAGTGTATCTAATTGTATAGAGATGCGGCATATATTTACGTTATGTTTTTGTACAATCTTCGAGATTGCAGCTGGCAGACTTTTAGTTTACAAGTTTTCTGTAAACTGTATGCCATGTTTAAATTGATTTTAATAGTGGTACTGTTCAGAACATACACTGTAATTGAAAAATGGTGTTTTTTTTCAATTTTGTGTTTTGATGCAGCTGCCCATCTGGTCTTTTTTTATATTTCTTTCGTTCAATATGGGTTTTCTCCAAGAATAAGAACAGGTGCTCCGGAAGATTAAGCGTCTTCTGGTTCATCGCCGACACCTGCCACGTAAATCTTTGTCTATCCAAGTAAGTACCATTACCCAATGAGAAGCAACATGATGAGCCACGTCCTGTCGCAAAAAAGAAACATAATATTTCCCAGTCAGACCACTATGTCAACCGTAAAACTTAATCATTTTCAATCAGCACCTCTCAAAACCCATTTCGTGAGTTTGTTTGTCGTGTCGACATCTTGCAAGAAAATAATGACATTTGGAACAGACCCTTGAATATATAAAATCAGTCGCGATATGTAAGCACCATAGAGTAGGGATGTCCAGATGTTGGTATCTGGATGATATAGCGGACCTTTACCGACAGAAATATATCGGGTTGGTAGGACATAAACATATTTATGAAGAAGAAGAAGAAGAAAGATTTGTGATACAAGCAAGTGAAAAGTACCATAGAGAAAAAGGCATATGAGGCAAACTTTGGATTGCATTCAAAACAGCACATTTGAATGGGAACGAAAACCTATTGAAATACGCTGTCCTGTGTTGATATTAATCGTCAATTCATTTGTATAAGGTGTGATAACACGTGTACTTGTCAGCCAATGAAATCTGAATGAGCTTGCCTACTGATGTTTTTCGGTGAGACGATAGCCAGCGACGGAAGGAAGTCACGGGGACGGAAAAGTCAACTTACCAACTAACTGTTTCTAAAAGGAGAGATGGAGAATTTCCACTGCAGGAAGACAACAGCTAGTGATTATGACGACGTCATGTCGATACGCCAACACTTATATGACGGACTTGACTATATACCAAGTCGGCACCACGAACTGCTGGAAAACAATACTGGATTTGCTGGGTACATCAACAATTGTATAGCGAGTACAAACATTTGTGTTACCAAGGAGTGAAACGAAATAGATTTTTATGGTTCCACACTTGTTGAAAGTGAGAATATTTCGGATTAAAGCTCTATGAAACAAGAGTTCTATATGGTAGTTAATCGTCCCATAACAGTAAAGAAATTTTAAATTTTACAGATTGTCATAAACATTTAGGGGTAACATTTAATTCTAATGCTAAGTGGGGGGATCATGTTAATGGAATTTACTCTTCGGTTATGAAAAAAATTAATGTATTACGAAAACTGAAACATTTGTTAAGTAGGGATGCTCTTTCAAAAATTTATAAGACGTTTATCTTACCTATTTTGGAATATGCACGTGAGTTGTGGGATGGTTGCAAGATTTTCAAGATTTCAACATTTTTATTTTTCTCGGACAACAACAATGTGTGACAAGAGGTCATACATATTGAAACGTTTTTAGTACATGACAGGCAGCCATAGTTATAAACATGTTATATATTTGTTGATTTTCCGAAAACATACATTGTAAGCAGCTCAAACATTTTAATATCCAGGACAATCAATGCTAACAATTAACGCAGTCGCATTATAAAATGTATGACAATCGTTGGATAAACATGCTTACATGCATCAATAACTTTTTATTAAAGACTGTGAACATCCCTTTCATTTTGTATCGGTTAGGATATTTACAGTAGTATCCCGGGATATACTTCAGTCTTAGCTGTTTTACTTCATCATTATTACACAAAAATAAAAAATGAAACTCATCTCCTATACCATTATTACACATGGGACATACTCGATCAAGATGTTGTATCCCTCTCCATCTACCTAATTCTACCGGTAATTTAACATTTGCTGTTCTGAATTTACAGATAAATTCTGCATCTTTTTTATTCAGCCGTAATAAATAGTCTTCAATACCAAATTTATTTTTGAAAATACTATATACTTGTCCTCTGGACGATTTTTCCATTTCGTCAAACCAAAATTGGACAAACTGGTCCTTCAGTCTCTGAGCAACTTCAGATTTTAAAAAATTGATATGTGGTAAACAAGTTTTCTGAAACATCCATACATGACCTAATCCAATACTGTTTAAAATATTTTTGATGCAGTTTATCCATTTGAATTCTATTTGGCCTGTTTCGTTGAGTGAGTACATCAATTTATACATGCAACTTGATAATTTATTCTCATTCAGGATTCGTGAGTACCAATATTTAACCATTCTTAATTTAATATCTATAGTAATAGGGTATCTTCCGATTTCTCCGGAGACCATAAAATTGGTTGTACTTTTTCTTCAACCCCAAAATTCTCTTACAAAATTGTAAATGTATCTTTTCAATAAGATAACAGTTCTCATATCCCCATATTTCACTTGAATATAATAAAATCGGGGATACCAATGCATCAAATAATTTCAATTTCAAGTCAAGCGGTAAATCAATATTTCTTATTTTTCGGTATACTACAAACAGGGCTTTTCGAGCTTGCTCAGACAAGTGTTTTTTTGCCGCGGCAAAACTACCATTGTAATTAAAAAGAACTCCTAGGTAGGGGAACGAGCTTTGTATATCAAGTTCGTTATTGTAAAGTAAAAAACTATTCCTAGATTTATTCTTTCTTTTAGAAAAAATGACAATTTTAGTTTTCTCGGTGTTCACTCCTAATTTCCAATTTTGGCAGTACTGTTGGAAATGATTTAACATAGCTTGTAGACCCTCTGGTATTTCAGATATTAACACCGTATCATCAGCATATAAAATAACAAACAATTTTATAAAAACACCAATATTATCCCAACATAATTCATTTAGTTTCAACAAATAGTCGACATTTTTTCTGATAAAAAATCCTCCAAATCATTAAGATACAGGGCAAACAAAAATGGTGAACAATTTTCTCCTTGTTTCAATCCGACATTAGAAGCAAACATCTGTGACATATCACTACCATTTCTAACACAAGATTTCGTGTTTGAATATAAATTATATAACACTTTAAGTATTTTACCATTAATGTTATTTTTAAGCAATTTCCTCCACAATCCTACACGCCATACTGAGTCGAATGCTTTCTTAAAGTCAATAAATGCACAATACAATTTTTTTCCAGACGATAAGTATAATGATATAAGTAGATGTAAGATAAATATGTTATCAGTTGTTGAATGCCCTTTTCTAAAACCTGCCTGGGCATTACTAATGAGGCCGATCTGGTCAGATAATTCGTATAACCTAGTATTTAGTACTGATGTGAAGACTTTTCCAAGACAAGATACTAGCGTTATCGCCCTGTAATTATTTAAGTCATTCTTGTATCCCTTATTTTTATATATTGGGATAATTATTCCGGTGTTCCAGCTTTCTGGTATTATTCCAGTGTCTAATGTGATGTTAAAAAGGTTTACATAAGTAGGTAACATGATATCAATAGAACTCTTTATATATTCGTTAATTATGTTATCAATACCACTTGCCTTGTTATTACTTAATTTTTTTACAGCTGTAGTTACTTCTTCAGAGGTGATTCTACTATATAGTATATCGTCGTATAAACTTCCCCTCTTGTCTGGAATAATAAATTCCTCATCTTTGTCGTTATCACTATTTAACTTTTTAAAATATGCGTATAGCTCATCGATCGACAAATCAATTTTTTGTCTTTTTTTTCCTATTATCAACTTTATTTAAAATGTTCCAGAATAGTTTTGGGTCGAACTTGGAAGCATTTCTCATCTCATCTTCAATTCCCTTTTGAATTTTTTTATAATTATTGTTTAACGACTTTCTATATTCTCTACTCTTTTTACGTAATTTTTTTCGGTTCACATTATTTTTCAAATTCCTGTAAGTTTTCTTTGCTTCGTGAAACTCTTTACGCTTACTAGCACAATCACGAGTAAACCACGG